GTGCAGAATCTTGGGAGCTGCGAGAGCACCTGCCCGGCCGCATCAACTCAAAGCCAAGGCGCGACTGCCCTTCCTGCGCCAGACTGCCACATGCCTCTGCCCCACAGCTGCACGCAACCCCCCCCCCCCAACCAAGGGGTTGCAGCCAACCGATCCCAGCGACTTCTGCCGTGGGCAAACCCCCAAGACCCACCGGCATGATCCCGATCTTGCACTCTCCCGGCTTGATGATGCCTGGGCAGTTGGGCCCTATGAGCCTCGTTTTGCTCTGCTCACTCATGATCTTCTTCACCTTCACCTGCAGGGCGACGGGGTGGGGTGTTGTGGGTGCCGGAAAGGACGAGAGTGGGCAGACGGGGTTCTGGGCGGGGGGTTGGAGCGCGCATGCCATGGGGCGTTGCTGGCGGCCCGCATCCGGGGCGTCGCTGGCGCCGCAGCCGGTGGCCTGGCTGATGCGCATCCCCCACCTGGGCCACCTCGGCGAGCCACACTCGTGCTTCAATAAAAGGTCTGCTCTGCCTCCAGAGCCGACGTAAATTACCGCACGCCCCAAGGCACCAAACGCAGGCGCACGAGCGGCCGCGGCCTGGGCCAACCCCAAACGCGCTGCCATATTCAGCAGGCGCTCCGCACCGCGCAACGCACCGGACACCCGCCCCCGCGTGGCAGCCGCCCCTGCAATACACCGCCAACCCCGTGCACCGATGACCGCAAGGCTGCGGGCGTGCTCCCTGCCTGACCGCGCTCGGCCGCCGTGCCCCCGCGCACCATGTCGTGCTGCGGGATGCCCTCCGTGATCGCCACCACCAGGTCCAGCTCGGCCCTGACCGCCTCCAGGATCGCGGCCGCCGCGAAGGGGGGCGGCACGTAGATCACGCTGGCCGTGCAGCCGGTGGCTGCCTTGGCCTCCTCGACCGTGTTGAAGATGGGCAGGCCCAGGTGGGTGCTGCCGCCCTTCTTGGGCGTAACGCCGCCGACCATCTGGGTGCCATACGCGATGGCCTGGCGGCGGCGGCGGCGGCGGCGAGGCGGGACCGGGGTGTGGGTGCGCGGCAGTGGCGGCTGGGTGAGAGGCGGGGGGCCTCGCCGCTTCTGAAGTCGCCGGCGGGCCCGGCAGTTGCGCGGACGAGTCGCACAGCCTTGGAGAACACCGGCGACAAGGGCGGAAGGGCGTTGCGGGCGCCCAGGCTTGCCTGTGTCTGCGCTCATGTCCCCACCTGCTCTGTGTGAAAGGTGCCATTCTTGCCGGTGATGCCCTGGCAGATCACCTTGGTGGTCTTGTCTACGAAAACGGCGGGGCCTGCGGCCTGTCCGGCAGGGGCGCGGGCGTGGTCAAGGCGGTGAGGCATCGAGTGTTTGCTGCTTGCTGCACGTGGCCGTGAGCTCTGCATTCCTGCAAGACTGAACAGCTCTTAGGAAGGCGACGTGGTCGTGAGGGCGTCACGCCCGGCCCGCCCGGCCCGCCTGCGAACGCAGCACTCCTCACCTGCGAGAAGTGCCGCACCCCTAGCGCTGCCTGCTGCAGCGCCGCTAGGACGCCCCTGCGATCAAAAGAGCCATACATCAGTGCCTTCATACGGCCGCACCGACAGCTCTCAGCTCTGGGAGGGCTTGCCTTGCCATCCGCCGAGTGATCTCCGTTGCTGTCCGGCTAGACCGCGCTGCCGCTTACAGCGCAGGTATTATTTTATCACAAATTCCTCAAGAGATCCGCAACAAAGACTTTGCACCTACACCGCTCTGAGGATCTCGATGATGGCGATGGGGCGCTGAAACGATATTATGCTCTCCCTGGAGAAAAGGCAGCGTAGATACAACCGCACAAGCAACGCGACTGCATCACCACTAAGTTGGTACGGTAGTTGGACAGTGCCTGCAACGCATTGTGCGTCACCATTGGCGGTTGTGCACGCAATGCGGTGTGTCTGCTGGATCCCCGAAATCAACACCACCACCAATCCACTAACACCGCACCCGGCCGGGTGCAAGCTCTGAGCCAATGCACGACGGGGCGCCACGGATTGGGGAAACCATGTCACATGATGTGCTGTCACGACGGAGCGGCTGCACCTCTGCGCCAAAGGCCAGCATAGCAGGCACTTGCGCTGACAGCCCCGTGCTTCCTTACATGCTCAGGCATACAAGGAAGGAATAGCACGTATCCTGACATATCTGCGTTGCCTGTTCTCGCGTCACTGCTGTGAGACCTTGGACTATCCTGCACTCAGCAGTGCCTGCACCACCTGTTCTGGCGAAGCTGGCTATTGAATTTCCAATAAGACTGCGTTGCTGGGCGCCCTCTGCGGTTTGCCGCGGCCCAATCATTTGCAGGCGTGCTTTGATCAGAACAGCTTGAGAAGTGGGTGTTTACCACAGAGGGGGGAATAAGATGCAGAACAGGGAGTGGCGCACAATGAGACGACCCACATTACGCCTAAAGGAGCGCAACCGTCTCTGAAGAGCGATCTGACGTTGTGTGTCGAACTGATGGACATGCGAGCAAACAAGGTTGACACCAAGGATAAAGAAAACAGCACGCCAAAAACACGCGCCAATGCCGCCCTGGCAGCGTTGGGGACGAGCGCACGTCACAAGGGCGGGGGCTGCGAACAAACAGCAGAGGGAGAAAGGGGTGGCGGTCCGCCAAAGCGCCAGGTCCCGCCGCCGGAATGGCTAGCCGGCGGGGCCGCGGCGATGACAGATTCCATGTGACGGCAGGGCCACGCACAGCCGCATGAGGACCCCAGGACGCCCGCGACAGGGCGACCTCAAGCTGCCCCTCCGCAAGCCAGTGCGACTCCAACAAGACACAGGTGAGCCGGGGGACGGCCACAAGGGGCTGGGGTGCATAGTCGGCAGGCGGGCAGGCCGAGGCCAGCAGTCGGCCACCATGCAGGCTCTAGCACCAGGCGGCAGGACCGCGCCCGACGCAGGTGCCCGCCGGACAAGAACTCGATTGAAGAAACACGAGAAACACGAGCGAAAGAAGGGGATAATCCAGGGTGTCAAAGGGTCGCGAGGCAGTCAAGGGGGGGGAGGTGGCGCTCTCACGCGAGGCTGGCAAGCGGGGCAGGTGGTAAAGCTCTCTCTCAAAGCCTTTGAATTGTTGTGCTGCATTGCGAGCGGCTCGGCGGCGCAGGTGGGATGGCTTCATACACTGTTTTAGTTTTCGAAGTGGAGGCAGCAGCAGCAGCGGCGCCGCTTCAACCCGCCAGGCACACACGCCTGTCCCCAACCCCACGCCACTTTGCAGCAGCAGAGGTGCACAGGGGAGATGGGGCACGGTCACGGCTGTGCGCTGCGGCGCGCGTGTGCACATCACGCACGCAGGCAGGATGCCATAGGCTGTGCAGGCAATGCCAGGCAAAATGTGACCCTTGGCACGGTCATCTTGGGGGACTGCTGCCAGCCTTTCGCGACTCATCCAGCAGCATCACCCAGCAGGCCTCCGGGGGCCTCGGTGCTACAGAGATGCAGGCGTTGCACGCCCATCATGGTGCACGGAGCTTGCAGCAACTTGTGCTGCTGCTTAGCAGCAGCGCAGGCTGCTCTACTTCCGCTGCTGCTGCTGCTGCTGCTGCTGCTGCTGCTGCGGCGGCGGCGATGGCGGCGGCAGTCCTATTGAGGCACGTGCGGCAGGAGCCACCAAGCTGGGCGCTGCGGAGGCGGCGGCCGCGACAACACCCACCGCCACAGCGCACGCACGGCGCTGCGCGCCCAGGCTGCGCCGCTTGAGCGCCATGCGCAGCGCGCGGCGATGCAGGTGCCGCAGCAGCTGCTGCTTGCGCGTGAGGCCGGTGCGCAGGATGTGGAGGCGTGCCTCGTCAGCAGCGGAGGAAGAAGGCCGCCTGAATCTAGAGGACCATGGCCGCTCCTCCGCCGGCGTACCCTCGCGGCTCCGGCTGGCGCGCCGGTCATGCGTCCGCTGCCGCTGCGGCGTCGCCGACGGCGGCGGGCCGCTGCTGCCGCCGCACGGCTGCTGCTGCTGTGAGGCCAAAGCGGCGGGTGCGGCGGCCTCGGCCACCGCCTGCTGCTGCTGCTGCTGCTGCTGCTGTGCTACCTGGGCCGCATGCCGCTGCTGCTGCAGCATCAGCAGTGCCTGGCAGCGGTGCCGCTCGGCCTCCTCCTCCTGCCGCAGCATCTCGGTGACATGCGGCGGCGCCACCAACCCCTGCGCCGCGCCGTCGAGGCACGGCCAGTAGCGCCGCTGCACCTCTAGGGCCGCCTGCACGCCGCGCCAGCCCGCGAGCGTCACGCCGGCCCCCGCGCCCGCGTCCGGCGGCGGCGCCTCCCCCATCAGCACACGCACGCAGGCCTCCGTCGCCGCCGCCGTGGCGCTGAGGTTGTAGCCGCCCTCCAGCAGCAGCGCCGTCGGCGCCACCGCCATGAGGTCCGCCGTCATCCGCGCAAACGCGGCCGGCGTCAGCCGGCACCCGCCGATCGGGTCGCCGTCGGCAGCGTCAAAGCCGGCGCTGATGACGATGAGCGACGGCGCAAAGGCGCGCGCGACGGGCAGCAGCACGCCCCGCATGGCGAGGGCGTAGTCGTCGTCTGTCGCGCCGGGGCCGTCCCACGCGATGTTGACGCTGAAGCCGCGGCCGGCGCCCCAGCCTGCCTCCGACGGCGCGCCGGTGCCGGGGTAGAAGGAGCCGCCGTCCCAGCGGTGCAGCGACATGTAGAGCACGTCGGGGCAGCCCTCAAAAATGTGCTGCGCGGGGCGGGTGGGTGCAGAATGATGCGCCCGGGGGGTTGATGCAGCAACTCTGTGGGGCGCTCATGCATCCCAGCAGCCCTGGAATGTAACAAAGACACGCTGCACATTTGAGTTTGCAAGCACAGCCCTGCAGCCTATCAACACGCCAGCAACAGCGTACACGGCTGCAGAGGGATTGCGGACTGCGCAGCCTTGTTGCAGCAAAGTTCGTTGCAGCAAAGGAGTTGGGGTCCCACCCTCACCTGGGTGCCATTGCCGTGGTGCACGTCCCAATCCAGGATCAGCACCCGCTCCGCCCCCGCCGCACGCGCCGCGCGCGCCGCGACCGCCGCATTGTTGAAAAAGCAGAAGCCCATTGCCGTGTTGGACTCGGCGTGGTGCCCCGGCGGCCGGATGATCGCGGCGCCGGCGCGCGCCTCGCCGCGCGCGACGGCCGTGGCGACCTCTGCAGCGGTGCCGGCCGCGAGCAGCGCAGCGTCGAACGTGTGCTCGTTCACATACGTGTCCGCAGGCAGCCAGTGCGCCGCGTGCAGCGCGCCGGGCGGCCAGTCCGCCGCCGCGCGCAGGCGCGAGACGTGCTCGTGCGTGTGCACGCGCAACAGCTCCTCGTCGCTCGCGGGCCGCGCGGGCACGCGACGGCAGCGCCGTGCGAGGCCCGACGCGGCGAGGCGCGCGGTGACGGCGCGCAGGCGGTCGGGGCGCTCGGGGTGGGGGCAGTCGTCGTCCTCCTCGTGCGCGAGCATGGCGTCGTCCCAGCACAGGATGAGGCCGGGGTCGCCAGCCGGCGGCGGCGCGGCAGCAGCACCGCCGTCGCTTGGAGACGCCGCAAAGAGGGCGTCGTCATCCGTGGGCCGGTGGCCGCACTTGGAGCACCCCAGGCCCGGGTGCTCGGGCAGCACCACGCCAGACGCGCAGTTGACGCACCAGCGGCGCAGCGGCGGCAGGCAAAACGCGCCGCCGGGGGCGACGGCGGCGGCGGGCTCCTCCATGCACTCGTCTGCCTCCCCCGCCTCGCAGCTGCCGTCATACCCGTTGCGACCCTCCTCTGCATGATCCTCCTGCTCCCCGCCCGCCTCCTCATCGTCCCAGGCGCCGCCACACCCGTCATCCTGCACCGAGCAGCCACCCACATGCGCCGCCGCCAAGTCGTCGACGTCGCCGGCGCAGTAGCCGCACGAAGCCTCGCTTTGCTGCGGATGGCTGCTGCCAGCCCGAGCGCCACGTGCCGCGCCGGACGGCGATGCCGGCGGCTTGCCGCCACCGACGTCCGCATCGTCGTCGCCTGCGCTCGGGCTGGCCGCGCGGCCTCCGAAGCTGCCGCCGCCGGCGCTGGTGCTGCCACCGCTGCTGCTGCTGTAGCGGCCCGCGGAGCGCCACGCAAGCTCGGCCGAATCGGAGGGCGCTGCGCCCGCATGCAGCACCTGCACGCCCTTGCCCAGGGCCGCCGCGCCGCTGACATCGTCGTGCCCGAGCGGCGCGTCGTCCACCGCCATGGTTGCACAACCGCGCGCGCGCGCAGCTGCGGCTGCGCGCGCTGCCGCTGCTGCAGCGCCCCACGCGCCTCGTGCGCGCCCCTCGTCACAAGGTCCCTCGCCTGGGAGCTGGAGAGCTTCAACACGGCAAGAAAAAACCTGTTCAGAATTCCTTGGCGACTTTGGCCCATGCGAAGACGAGGGAGCGACACGACACGCCATGCGTGGGACGGCGGACGCAGAGGCCAGCCGGAGGGGCCCCACCTGCTGCAGAAAGAGCTTGTGTCTTTTATCTCGCCCCTTATTTTGGCGGTCCGGACCGCTGAGGCAAGCGGCGTGAGAATAGTCGTGTTGCCGGGTCCAGCAGCTTTCGTTTTTGAAAAACGTATGTAAACAACACAGCCAGTCTCAACACGAACGTCACGGAGACGGCGCACACGCCTCGCGGAAGAGAAGCATCCTGTCCAAGCAAGCTCCAATCTCAGAAAGCAGGCGCGTATCGCAATACACCGTTCTTATAGAACGTACACTCGTGCCGTGGGTACCGAGCTTGGTGATGTCATTGTTCCGATACAGGAGGCGGCGGTTCCTGGGCAGCGCAACCACCAGCCGTGCTCGAGCACCAGAGACGCATGGTGCGTCGCAGGCCAGGAGGTGAACTTGATTGCTTTATGCACCATCTCAACGCCACAGCTGACACGTCGTTCGGAAATCCAGAGTCTGCACGGTGGGGCTAGTACAGGCAGTACCGAGCCCAGTGGCAGGTGGATGGGGGCCTTCCCTGGGCTGCCAAGCGCTCCCGCCGCGCAGCCGGGAGGCACCTCACTGATGCCAGCCCAGAGAGCGCGCCCAAGCCGGCTGCTGGGCTGCCCGAGCGTCCGCCTCTGTGGCGAGTGCGCAGCCGCAACCCTGGGCAGGGACGGGTCAAGCATGGCTGCGCGCAGGCGCCAGCGATTTCAACCGCATTCTGTCGCTTGGACGTGGCTGCCGATTCAAGCACGCACTCGTCAACGAGACGCGCTGCAAACACAGCATGGGCCTGTCCCTGATGCCCAGTGACGTCCGCCGGGCGCGCATCCACCACTCGTCTAGCGGCGCCTGGCTGCACACCCCGCCTTGCCTGGCTTGCTTGCGATGGGGGGCACTCATTGCATGTTGAGAGGGTCTGCAGCACACCCTCGTTCAAGACCCGGCCACTCGGGGAAGCATGTGCGCAGCTTTGACTGTCGACTCTCTGCTGCCCGCCTGGGCCGAGGCGGTGCGCCAGGGCACGCTGGCGCCCCAGCGAGGGGCCTTGGGCTGAGTTTGACAGAGCCGAGATCGCGCCCTCAGATAGATTCACACCTGAGGACGTTTCCCTCTCTACCCTCCTAAAAAAACACAGTTCGCTTCCATAAACCAACCCATGATGCGCGTGCCCTCACGTGACCACACTGCTGCTCTGCCCCCTTCGCCGCACGTGCGATGTCGCCCGCGGGACGGCTTGCAGGCTCGCTTTGTGCTGCGCTCGAGACCCCTGAGTTGTCTGGCGGCGCAGCCACTGATCACCTGTGCGCGACCACGAGTTTTGCGCCGTTGTTGGATGCCGCCACTGCCCCCGTTGCTCGCTTGCGGGCGTCTGTACAACAGCCACAGCAGCACTGCCTTGATGAGTCTGTGCATAGCTGCTTCGAGCTTGTCTCCTGCCAGTGGAAAGCTTAGTTTTGACCATCATGTCTCCTTGCGCGCCATTATGTTGGCCCCAACAGCGCCTGTTGGCGCACGCATGTGGCAGCTACCAGGTGGCTGGCTCGTGGGGCAAGGGATCTGAAATTACCCATGCGGGCGCCATGCTGCGCCGACGCGCATGGAGTTTGCATCTGAAGGGCACACGAGTCAAAAACATGCAACAAAACAGCGATGGTGCATGCGACAACATGAGTCAGAGGCAGCAAACCAAAAGCAGCGGCAAAACGGCCGTGGTGAGCAAGCAGTTGAACGCAAGGGACGTCGCAGCTGCCCCTGCAAAGGGGGGGTGCAGCCCGCGGGCGCCAGGAGTGCCCCGCCACCACACGCCAAACATCCCCGTCACATCAGCCCGTCGAACGGTGCACGCATGAGCGCCTCGCGCACGCCGCCGCCAACCATCGCAGCCGCCACGCTACACGGTGCGCAGAGTGGATGCGCCGGCGTGCCCAGGGCAAACAGCCGTCGCCCCAGGCGCACCGCAGCAGGCCCGCCGCTGGCGCCGCCTTCGGCGTCGCCTGTCGACGGCGACAGCAGCGCCGCGGCGTCGGCCGGCGGCAGCGGCGCGGCGCGCAGCAGGCCGCCGTCGGGGCCGCAGGACACAACATACCAGGTAGCGCCCGCCCCGCAGCCGCTGCCGCCGCCACCGTCGCACGCGACCAGCGCGAATCGCGGCCCTGCGCCCACCGGCAGCTCTGCCAGCGTCCACAGCGTCCGCCCTGCGAGCGGCAGCCGCTCGGAGCCGCCATCCGCGCGGCGCCGGCTGGCGGCGGCGCCCGCGCCCGCGCCGGCCGCCGGCGCCGTGGCGGCGTGCGGTGTGCCGCCGACCTCAAGCAGGCAGCCGCGGGCGTCCAGGCACAGCCAGCGCCCCCCGCGCAGCGGCGCCGGCTGCGGCAGCGGCCGCACCTGCAGCAGCGGCCGGACCTCCTCGTGCGCCCACAGCGCCTGCAGCGTCACGGCCTCCTCCTCCTGCTCCTGCTCCTGCTCGCCGGCGGCCTCTGACGGCGGGCGCCTCCTCATCTGCCGCTCCACCCGGTAAACCACGAGCCCCTGCGCGCGGTCCGCGGCCGCGACGAGCCACGCGCCCGCGC